ACAAAAAATGGTCTTACTTTGAATGATGTCCAATTAGGCAGTAGGGGGATATCTGAACTAAATTTTACTCAGTATTTAATAATCCCCAAGTTGCATATAATGTACAAGCTATGCATAAATTATGCAAATTGCTATGTGAACGTGGGAATAAACAAGCAGCCTGTCAGCTGAGATATGAGAAGCGTTCAATAAGTAATGCCCCTGACCCACTTCCAGTTGTCTGATCTAGATGAAATTTTGCATGTGTAATGATTTACATTACTATGGGTTATGTTGCAAAAAACAGCTCTGAACTAATTGTAGTTTATGATTTACAAGTGAGTCAGGTGTGTAATGGGGCCAGTGATCCGGTTTTTGTATTTGAAAAGACGCACACCAAAGGAGACTTTTGATGAAATGAAAGAAACTTATGGTGGTGATGCCCCATCATATGACCTTGTAAAACACTGGCATTGTGAATTCAAACATGGCCGGAAGTCTGTGGAAACAGCTCCCAGACCTGGTTGTCCCTCTTCTGCCATTGATGAGGCATCTGTCCGTCAAGATAAGGCAGCCATTTTGAAAGATCGACACATTACTGTTCGCCAAATAGCCCAAGAGGTCAAGATTAGTACAGGGTCTGTGAAAACTATCATTCATGTCCATTTGCATATGCATAAGGTGTCTGCTAGATGGATACCTAGATTGCTCACACCTTTTCAGAAGCAAGAACGCGTTAAGTGCTCGAGGATGAATTTGGAGATGTGCCAAGAAGATGAGTCAAAGTTTTTCAAAAGACTGATTACACTATGATCCAGATCACTTTGATCATAGTGATCTATGATCACTATGATCCAGACACCAAAGCCCAGTCAATGCAGTGGAAGCACTCGGACTCACCACCTACAAAGAAGGCAAGGGTGCAGTCCTCCACTGGCAAGGTCATGCTCACAGTCTTCTGGGACCAGCAATGACAGATTTCCTGGCAAAGGGTACCACAATTACAGGAGCCTACTACGCTTCACTTTTGATGAAATCAAGAGAAGCTATTGAAATCAAGAAGCGGGGCAAGATCAGTAAAGGTATCCTCCTCCTGCAGGACAATGCTCCAGTCCATAACTCGCATGTCACCAGATCAGAAGCACGGGCGTGTGGCTATGAAATCCTTCCCATCCCCTTACTCTCATGACTTTGCACCCTCTGAACTTTCATCTCTTCCCAGCCATGAAGTTGTTTTTGAGTTACGACGTGGTTGGAAGACCAACCCGGGGTGTCCAGAGCTGCATCAAACGATGGGAGAAATGCACAGCTCTGGGTGGTTCCTATGTAGAGAAAAACTAATAACTGTGCCAAGTGTCATTATTCTCTTGCTATGGGAAATGGGTCAGGGGCATTACTTATTGAACACCCCCCGTTAAAGAGAGAACTACTCTTAAACATTGATAAATAATCTCTAGAGAAATTAATACACAACTACATAAATATTGAAATGTGTATACTTTGTATTGTGATCTCAGTGAGTATGGTGAGTTGCCTTGCTTTGTAGTAGTAGAGGATTTGTTAGCTGGCAATGGTGAAGGTGTGGACACTAACAATAGAATTGTCCAACTAATGACGACAAATAAAGTAGTATGGCACAAAAGTTGCAGGGGCGCAGTATAATCAACAGAGGGTGGATTGGGCCAAAAGAAAAGCAGAAGTTAGCATATCATGTCAAACCCAATTAAGACGAGGTGGCTGAATTCTTGCCGGGAAAATGTGCCATGACCATCAAACGTGAAAGAAGATCATCTCAATACCAAATGTTTCTTCTGTGAGGAAGCCGAGAATGTGAAGGACTTAAGAAAGGCATTGACACTTGGTCTTGATGAAAAAGTCCATGATGCGGCAAAGAGGACTGGTAATGCGCATCTCCAAGCTAAACTGTCACTAGGTGACATGATTGCTTTGGATGCAGTTTATCACCTGACATGCCTTACTAGCCTGTACAGAAAGGCAAATGCGGTGGACCAATCTTCTAGTCAATCCTATACAGCCAAAGTAATGAAGGTCCAAGCTTTTTAGGAACTCATAAAGTACATCAAAGATAATCGCACAACTGGCATGGTTTTCAACATGGCTCATTTGAAAGCACTATATGATAAGCGCCCTGCATCTCTTTGTTATCCTTAGAGTCAATGCCATACAACACGACTAAGAAAA